GACACAGTGAGACTCCAACTCAAAAAAAAAAAAAAAAAATTGCCGGGATTACAGGTGTGAACCAATGTGCCTGGCTGAGAACTATATTCTTAGAAGAGCTTTTGCCTCTACAGATGAGGAAATTTAAACCCAGTTAGGAAAAGGACTTACACACCATCTTTGCAACTCATTGGCTTAGGCAGGACTATAATCTAGTTCTTCACAAACCTCCTCCCACACCCTTGATCACATCAAGCACCTACTGTGTGCAGAAAGACACCTCTGAAATAGCTGTGGCTGGGTCTGAAAGCATGCCTGGGCAGTGACAGAACAGAAGGAATGGAGAGAAGTTCTCCAGCCTGGAGGGGGTTGCTTTGTACTGGATTCTGTCCGTGTGACCCGGCCGGTGCTCCTGTAGGGAGCAGCTCTCACGGCTTCCTGGTTGAATGGAGTAGGGGCATGTAGATAGATGGGGTGGATTTCTCAAGACTGAAGATGCTTGCACTGGAGGGCTGGGCTCTGGCATCACTGACAGAAGTGTCTTCCCAGAAGGTCATCCTTCTCTCTGTTCTTGGGCAGAATTATATTTTGTTGGTAAGCAAGAGTAGTGGGTGAGGCCTGGGGACAGGGAGAGGGAGAAAAAGAAGAGGGTTTTAGGCAGTTTGGCTGCTTGGCATTTTACCACGGAAACTGTGTGGTTGCCCTGGTGATAGGGTGCTTGTTGCTAGGCACAGGGGGATGGTTTACCACCCAGAGTCCTCAACTGGGATGTGATGTGTGCGGGAGGTTGTCACGTTGCCTTGAGCCCGGAGTCTGTGGATCTGGGATGGCAGCTTTCCCCCTTTTCTTCCTACCCACCCTCCAGGCCTTGTCTGTTCTCCTTATCTGCCCTGCTGATTCTCTGACCATATATGTCAGTTTTGGGCTCCAGGAATGCAGCTGGACCTAGGCAGCCTTTTCTTTGGGGTTGGACTGAGTGGGTTGAATTGAAGCACCCCTCCCTCACCCGTAGGCTGGGCCTATGGTGGGAAAGGGAGTTGCTTCCCACTGGGGCCGCGGGTGAGGTGCCTGTCTAAGGTTGTGTGCAGCCACATCCTTATGGCGGGGTTCCAGACCTGGAGAAACCCAGTTTCCCGGCTGGCTCTTTTCCCCTCCCCACCTGCCGTAGCTGCTGTTCTGTTTCTCAGCATTGCGGATGTCATGAGCATCCCCACTTCCCATCTGTGCCTTTCAATCCTTAGGGCAATCTGTTGACCTTTCCCACCTTGAACTAGTGTTGGAGCTCCCCGCAGAGTCAGGGTGGGCTTGGGAGCCCCCAGGAGCCTGCAGACTCCCCTGCTGCAGGTTTCTGTCCTGGGGCAAACCCAGCTGGGCCCCTTGATGATGGTCTTTTTTTCTAGGACCCTGTGGTCTCTGGTGACCTTCTCTTCCCCAGGCCAGTGGTGGGGGATGGAGTAGCCAGTACCACAGATGACCTTTTTCAGGCATGGGGTTTGGAGACCCCTGTGTCCTTAGATTCTTGCAGCGTCTCTGTCCCTGTTACTCCTGGGGCCTGGAAGGCGTCTGTGCTCCAGGACCCTTGAGGAGAGGGGCGTGGACCTCTGCCCTCTGCAGCTGGGACTGCATGACTGAGCCAGCTGGGTGGTAGGCAGCGCGAGACCTGGCATGGCTCTTCCCTCTCTAGCTGGAGGACCTGGAGGGAGGCACTGACCGTGCCATCCTCTGCCCCAGCTGCCCTTTCTGGCAACACGCCAGAACTGTGGAGCCAGAACCTGAGCTACATGGGGCTCTTGGCAGGAATGAGGAGTGTTGAGGAATGGGAACAGGGCGCTTGGGAGGGAGGGAGAGTCACCGAAGGGGAGAGGCTGTCACTGACCTGCCACCTCCCTCCTGCTCCCAGGTTTCTCTTCAGGTTCCATAGGGTGAGGCTGTGGGGACAGGACTGGCATGGATCCTCTCTCAGAACTGCAGGATGACCTGGCCTTGGATGACACCAGCCAGGCTCTGAACCAACTGAAGCTGACCTCCATCGATGAGAAGAACTGGCCCTCGGATGAAATGCCGGACTTTTCCAAGTCAGGTGGGCAGAGCTCAGGCAGCTATAGGCACTTAGGAGGGAAGGGCCCCTTCCTGCTGAAGGAAGGCCCCAGGAGGGTAGAGAGCACAAGCTTTACTGGGGGGAGCATTGAACAGTTTGCATCTCAGGGAAAGCATCACACCAGCCCCCAACTTTGCCGTCTTCCTCAGATGACTCCAAAAGCAGCTCTCCAGAACCTGTCACACACCTGAAGTGGGATGACCCTTACTATGACATCGCACGGCACCAGATCGTGGAGGTGGCAGGTGAGCACACCCAGCTTTGTGCCTTTTTCCTCACAGTCTGCACTCCTGGTTTAAAGAAGTCAGTCCCTCACACCTCTCACATCATAGGGGCAGGGACTGGGGGCATAGGCTGGTGCCTACCCTCTGGTCTGAGCCCTGGCCCTGGAGCTCTTGAGCACATGTACCATTCTTTTAAAAGCAGACTTGCGCCAGGCATGGTGGCTCAAGCCTGTAATCCCAGCACTTTGGGAGGCCGAGGCGAGAAGACTGCCCGAGTCCAGGAGTTCCAGACCAGCCTGGGCAACATGGCGAGACCTTGTCTCTATAATAAATCAAAAAAATTAGCCGGGCATGGTAGCGTGCACCTGTAGTTCCAGCTACTTGGAAGAGTGAGGTGGAAGGATCGCCGGAGCCCACCAGGTTGAGACTGAGGTGGCTGTGAGTGTGCCACTGCACTTGCACTCCATCGTGGGTGACAGAGCGAGTCTTCAACTAAAAAAAAAAAAAAAGCAGACATGCAATTGCCACTTGCTGTATTCACCTGCGACCACTTCCTGACCTATGACCCTGTTGTCTCCACTGGCAGGTGGTACATGGGAGGCAGTGTGGCCAAGTGGCTTTGAAGTCAGAAACTCCTAGGTTTGATCTTCAACTCTGCTCTCTGAACTCCTTTCTTCCTGTGGGCTTGCTGGAGGATGACAGTAATGAATGTGTATCAGGGCCTATCCCAGACCCAGAATGTAGCTGGCCCTGAATAAGTGGCCTTTCCTTCCCCCTTGTTCTGTTCCCCTCCCTCCCCTCTGCCCTGATGTCAACTTTTCCACCCCATCATTACTGGGGGAATCCCACCTCCAAGGGAGTCCTGAATGGACAGAGCCTCTTTCTAGAAGCGAGGGGTCACAGGAGCCCCTGGAGCATCAGGTTTCAGCAAATGTGCCATCCTGCTGAGAATGGGCGGGAGCCCTCCTTGGGTCTCTGCCTTCTCCCTGCCGTTCATAAGGCAGGACCCAGAAGAGACCAGGAGCAAGATCCTGCCCTTAGGGTCCCGCTGCTGGAAGAAGCAGTTGGGATTGTAGGATCCTTTGTCTTTTCTCTAATGTTTGTCTATCCTCACTGGTAAAGCCAGGCACCATAAGCATGGTCCTGCTCTGAGGCATTGGGGTGGGCAAGGAAAGCCAAGTAGAACATGGTCCCTGGGGCCCAGTGTGGTGCTGACTGAGGCTCTAGAAGATGCTGGATGGGACAGTTGGGAGCATTGCCCCTAAGGTCACAGGTGTTTTTTATTGGCAATTATGTTCCTGGTACTTGCCCTGGTCTGGGTTGGGGCCTTGGCCCTAACCCCTCTTGTACTCTGCAGAAGCAAGACTGAGAATACGTTCCTGGTCTGGTCCTGACTTGGGTACAGGAGAGTCGCCCTCAAGGTTCTGGACCTGCTTGGGGTGTGAGGGAAGTCTGATGTGAGGGCATCTCTGCCCTGACATCATCCTGGCCTATGTGGTCAAGTTAGAGCTGGGAGAGAGCCTGCCCCTTCCCACCTCCTTGGGTGACCCCTCTTCCTCCTATAAGCAGAGCTGCAACTTGTTTCTGTTTCCCCAGGGTGTGATGAACCTGAGGGGGCCCAGCCAGGTAGGTGCCAGTCCTGGCTATCTGTGCTTGGCCTCTCTGGGCTTTGGCCTCTGGGCTGTGGATCAAGAAGAGCGCTTGGTGGAGGCCAGGTGGGGCTAGCTTAATTGCAGCCCCACTCTGCAGAGCTGGCAGCTGGCAATGCCTGGGAGCTGGAAATAGCCAAAGATTAATGGGAGGTAGGACAGGCTGGTGGAGGCTGTGTGGGGACATACCCAGAACCCAAATGGAAAGTAGCTTTCGGGCAGGGACTGGCCTTGTACAGTGGGCTAGCTTGAGTGCTGGCTCAGGGACTCCTCTAGGTGGTGTGTTGCCCATGTTTGTGTCTCTCTGATTGGTGAGAGGAGTCTGGGTTGGCACCATCAGAGTGGTTAGACCGTGGGGACATCCCCAGGAGGCCAGTCACTGGAAACTGGAAAGCCCATGTTGGAAGGGAGGGTGGTTATGTCCTCAGCCTCTCTTCAGCCTCTGTGCTTCTTGATAGCACAGAGTCATGCTCCACGTCAAATTTGACTCATTCCAAATGGATTCTCTCTAGTGCTGTGCTGGTAAATGTTTAGCAGTTGGCTCTCCGGAAAGGTGGAAGGAAGGCCATGATTTGTACCATTTGCAGTTTCTATCCTGGCAGATTTCAAGCCACCAACTGTCTTGCAGAATTCCTGACAATTAAACAGTTGAATAATGTATGAGCTGTCTCCAGCACGTGACTGGTTCTGTCAGCCCAAGCCCCCACCTCCCTGGTCCTCAGCTTGCTCTGCAAGTTGTGGGCAGGGCAGGGCAGGGCAGGGTGGCTGGTCTGGGGTGCTCAGAATGCCTATGGGAGGAGCTGTCCTGTTGCAGATTAACACCCAGGCCACCCTGAGAGAGTTCCTGATTGGTATCTGGGGCATGCAGAGGCCTCATTCTCCTGGCTTGTCCCTTCCAGGTGCTCTGCAGAGACGCTGTATTCCCTCTTGGTTGAGCCCTCTCCCCCAGGGCTCTGAGACACCAGAGCTGCCAGCTCCTTCTCTCCCTCCATCTCCAGGGCAGAAGTCAGCCGTCTTCAGAGATCAGAAGGAGGGGTTCCGAGCCTCTTTGCATGTGTTTCTTGTAGCAGGAGCTGTTCTGCCCACTGGGCCACCCAAAGACTTGGGACCCCATTCCAGGAAGTGGGTGGGCAGGGCTAGACCCTAGGGTTGCTCACCCTGTCATCCTTGCCTGCCTGGGAGTCTTGCCACCTAACTGGCCCCTCATGGACTTCCCTTTTATCTCATTTCCATCCTGGCTTCATTGAGCATGCATCCATCAAACCCTGAAACAAGCCCTGTAGTCAGCATTGAGGATTCAGTGAGGAAAAACACGTTCCCTCCTTCAGGAAGTGTACGGTCTAGTAAACTGGTTCCTAGTGGGTTACAGGCCCCTTTCAGACTATGCAAGGTGTCCCTGGGATGCGGAATCTCTTCCTCTAGAAGAAAATGTCCATGTACTTGTCATGTTGGTCATATGCCATCATGGAGTTGGTGGAGCCCTGGTTGGGAAACCAGAGCTTTCAATTTGCAAGGTGCCATAGCCCGCTGAGAGGTGGAACCCCAGCCTCCAGCCCTCACTCCAGCCCTCACCCCAGTTACTAGGTCTTCAGTTCCAGAGCCAGTGAGCTCACAGACTTTCTGCTGAATCCTCAAATCTGCCAGTCAGGCACTGCACTGCCTTACTGCTGGTGGGGAGGGATGGAAGGAAATAATCTTTCAGAAGCCCCCCACTCCTCTCAGCATTTCTCCCCACATCCTGGACATTTCCTCCATTTAGATGGGAGTAGGCAGATGAGGCTCTCTCTCCCCAGATTGTGGTAGGCGGCCAGGGATTTCTGAAATTCCACCTTGTATGTGAGTTCCACCTTGTATGTGGCCTGGGCTTGCCCATCTAGCCCTTTCTCCCTGGCCCCTGCCAGTCCGCTTTTCCTTCCACTGTCAGAGCCAGTGGGAAGTGAATCAGAGCAGGCACATGGCCCTGGAGCCAACCCCGGCTAGCCTGGGAGGAACCCAGCTCATCAGGATCTAGGCTAGGATATGAAAGAGCAAGTGGCACTTGGTTCTTCAAAACAGCCCTGCTGGATGGAGCTGCACCTCCTCTTCAGACAGGCGGGTAGAGGATTCTCTGCTTGTAAATCCTCACAAATTCTGTTCCAAACTTTGGAAGACTCACTGTCTAAAGCAATCTAACTCATAAACTGAGCATATCAAAAACCAAGTCAGAAATACAAATGTGCATCCCAGAACTTAATGGTGACCTGAGACTTTGTGCAGGCTACCAGCACTTGCTGAATTCCTGCCACATGCTGAACCCTGGACCAACTCTAGAGGGACAAAACTAACCCAGGTGTAGTGGCTCACGCCTGTAATGCCACCACTTTGGGAGGTGGAGGCGAGAGGATTGCCGGAGTCCAGGGGTTCGAGACAAGCCTGGGTGACTTGGTGCAACCTCGTCTCTACAATAAATAAAAAAATTAGTTGGGTGTGGTGGTGCATACCTGTAGTTCCAACTACTTGGAAGGCTGAGGCGGAAGGATCACCTGAGCCCAACAAGTCAAGGCTGTAGTGGCCATGAGTGCACTGCACTCTAGCCTGGGTAACAGAGTGGCACTCCTACTCAAAAACAAGCTAACAAACAACCATAGAAGAACAAAACTACCAGGTGCAGTGGCATCCACCTCAGTCCCTCGGAAGGCTGAGGCAGGAGGACTGCTTAAGGCCAGGAGCTATGGTCTTGCTATTGTACTCCATCCTGAGTGACAGAATAAGACCTTGCCTTTTTTTTTTTGAGTTGGAGCCTCACTCTGTCACCCAGGCTGGAGTGCAGTGGCACACTCACGGCCTCCCCAGCATCAGCCTTCCAAGTAGCCGGAACTACAGCACATGCTACCACACCTGGCTAATTTTTTGATTTATTGTAGAGATGAGGTCTCACCAAGTTGCCCAGACTGTACTCGAACCCATGGGCTCAGACAGTCGCCTTACCCTGGCCTCCCAAAGTGCTGAGATTACAGGCTTGAGCCACCACACCGGGCCAAGCTCATCTCTTAAGAAAAAAAAATCACAGCTTGCCAGGAGTTTTAACTTCCCCCCACCTCCTCCCCACAAAAGATGGATGAGACACAATCCGTCTTCAAGCTGCTCACAAGCCAGTAGAGGAGACAGGCACATAAATGAATATATAGGAGAGTAGAATTGTCATCACAAAGGTGAGTGACACATTATGCTGGGAGCCACAAAAGGGAGCAGCTAAACTATCTGGGGGAAGGGGAAGAGGACACAGGCTTTTAGGAGGTAACTGAGCCTGGATTAAGTCTAAGGGTTTGTGGGAATTAGCCTTCAGGGGAGAATTGTCTAGAGAGAGATCGGTCTGGTTTAAGAAACAGCAGAGGCGCAACCCACCCTGGCAAGGGCAGAGTGAGTACTTCTGTGTTGGAGGTATGCCCGGTATGAGCCTGGAGGGTCCTGTGAGCCATTCCAAGGAGCACTGACAGGACTGGGGGCCCACAGAGTGTATCTGGGGTGGGGTTCAGGGCAAAAGGAAGGTTCGGAGCAGTAGAGTTGAGGGCAGGCAAGTGTTTCTCACCCCTCCAGGGGTTAGGCAGGCTAGATTGGGCAGGTTAGGGAGGGAGGACAGAGCCAATCTCTGGGCTTGAAGGGCTGGGCCTCAGACCCTGACCCAGAAAATTCTTAGAAGGAACTGGTTAGTACTTTACAGGGCCAACAGAGCCAGGCAGTGCTCTGGGTAGAGGTGGGAGGGTTCGGCAATGGATTCAGAGGTGACATAGGAGCTTGACTGCTGGGAGCAAGACACTAAGCAGGCCCAAGCACTAGGCCATGTGGCCAGCAGAGACTAGGGCCACCCTGGCCACGTTCTAGAAGCTGCCTTCAGACCCTCCATGGAGCTTTGCCGTAGCCCTAAAGAAAAGGATCCATACTTGGAAAAGCACTGACTCCTGGGTTCAGTCACTGAGCAAGAGGGGTCACGAAGATTATGGCTCATTCAATATGAGGAGACACTCAACGAGAACTGGGCCATCCTTAGTTGTCAGAGGTGGAGGAGGGGCAGACTGGCACTGCGTTCATAGATAATGTAAGTGGCCTTTTTATTCAGCTCTGAGGTGGTGGGCATTAGGCAGATGTAGTTTGGTGTCCGAAGAAGCATGAGGGTAGAGGTGAAGGGAAGGCCCCTGGGACATGGAGAGGTAGGGACTAGGCCTCGTCCTCATCAAGCTTTGCTTGGCGTCCCTCATAGTCACTGACCCTGGAAGGGCATCTCACTTTAGGGGACAATAGCATGTCTCAGCTTCCTAGCTTCATGACCGACCCAGAAGTTCAGGCCATCAAATTGTGGCTGTTTTTGCACAAACACTGCTGAATGATTACACCCAAATGAGCATAACACACTCCTCTAAATTCCGTGTTCTTTTTTTTTTTTTTTTGAGTTGGAGTCTCACTCTGTCACCCAGACTGGAGTGCA